TTATATTCACATATTTATTACAATTTTATTTATTTTATTTTAGTTAAAACATAAAAAACTCAAGTTACACAAAATCTAGTTTTCTTTGATCATTCTGATATAAGTAATGAATTGTATTTTTTTCTCTTTTTTCTTTCGGTGCATTCAAGTAGGATCGAGTTGAGAGCGAAATCCAAACATCTGCAAAATTACGCGCATAAATCCTTTAACACTTTTCCTCCGGCTTGGACACTAGACAAGCAACCCATTGTTGGGGTTGCATTCACCACGCGGGGCACCGTCAAATTAGCCCACTTCAGGGTCGATCCTGCTGCGTGCCTCTTCCCTCCCTCTTAGTGCTCTCTGCACTCATTCCTCATAGCGGGTGCAGTGCAACATATCATACCCATTGTTTACACACTTCGTTTTCGGTGGGGGAGAAAACGAGAAGGCACACACGGCAAAGATTTTTTCTTCCGCAAATTAAATATAAAAATATTATATCATAAATTTAAAATCCCTAAAAGGTTTTTATATTTGTTTTTATATCGTAAATTTTTGTTTTGTAAAAGTAATTGAAAAACAAAAATTTAACAGAGATTAGATAAATTTAAACGAACAAGAAAAACTCAAATATTAATGAATACAAATGAAGGATTTATATTTAAATATTTTCTTTGACAAAACATTGTCTTTAAAATGCATTATATATTTATTTTGCAATCTGTTGAATTGGGTATTCATTAAAAATGTTATTCAAAATCTTTTAAAATCTGTAACTGATGTCTAGTAAAATTAGAACCTACCGAAAGATTTGTGAGATTTTCCCCCTGTGTAGTAGGCGCGTGTGGCGTTGACAGTTTGCGGAGATTTTCCAGTGTCTCCTTGAGCAGCTGCAGTGATGTCCTTCTTGTGGCTGGGTGCCTATATACACTATATATAGAGTCTCGAGCCGACTGCCTACTATTGCCAAAACAAACAATGACACCACCCGCCGCATCTGGGCAATTTCTCCTTGACTGGCCGCCAACAGTCGAGAGTCGTTGGGTTTGGGTTCGTTCTTGGGTAAATGTTTCCTTCTAATGACCCCTATCCCTGCTGCAGGATGGTGGTCCTGGCCCGAGGTCCTGGGGCATATTTTCAAGCAGTCTTGTGCGGTTTCTTCTACAGCAAGGAACCTTCTTTCTTACCGCCCTTGCCACTTACTACTTACCACTTACCGCTTACCACTTTCCAATGGCAATGTCTTCATGCCTCTTTAGCGCTTATCATGCTCAAATGGTAATTAAAGGGCCATACAAAAACTATTTATCCTGAGGCTGCCGAGCGTGCTCTTGTTGTTGTTGTTGTGGTTGTTCAATATTACTCACTCGTTGTCCATTGACAAAGGGCAAAGGGGGAAGAGAGGGGAAGCGGGATAGACACAATGGATGCACTGAACCCAAACCCGAATCAGAATCTGAATGCCAACCCATCCGTACCCTTTGCCATTTGTTTTCTATTTTTTCTTTCCCCTGGATCATGATGTTTTATTAAATTTGTTTCCAGTGCCCTAACATTATATTTGCTACCCTTTTTTCGGTTCTTGTTTTCGCCGACGAGTTTTATGACAATTTCCACTTTTTGCCATTGTCGATTTGATTTTATTACCGCTCTTGGTTTTGTCTATTTCCCCTCTGAACTTATCGAGTGTATGATGTTGTCATCATTTCGGCGATTAGTGGATGGGTTTGTCGGTTTGCGAACACCCGCCAGTTGGCCAGTTGTCAAGGTTAATTGAATTTTCGCTTTGCTGCATTTCACTGTTGCTATCTTGCAGATATGGCCGGAAAATATGAGTCGACTACTCGTACCCGGCTATCTTTATGGCGGCCAGTAAACCATAATTTCGCCACAGCAGTGGCCAGGATACTAGCGATGCCCCTCGCCATTAGCCTTATCGCCCTGATCCCCCCGTCCAATGGGTTTTACTGCAAAGGCTTAATTATACACACGCCTCCGAATTCTGGTCAATTGCCGCCATAAAGCCAGCCAGTTGGTGGACTTTGGATGGAAAAGTTGCCGTGAAATAACCGTGAATGTTATGCAGTGGATAGGGATTTGCTCTTTGACATATTGTTTGACGGAATTTTAATAGAAGTAAAATAAGTATAAAGTATTTACAACTTAAAAAAAATAAGCTGAACATATAAACATAAGTAATAAGTACAAATCAAACCATGGAAAATGTCATTTTTTAAGTGCAGGATTTTGGACATTTTTGGAAAAAGCTTATTTTCAGGCACTTGGCAAGGAGGTACCTCATAAAAATGACAAGAAAACCGATCAAAATATCGAAATAAAACCAATGATGCAGTTTCTTAAAGGTCATCATCATAATCATATTGAGGTATAGCAATCAAAAATCGGACATAATTTAGATATGTTATGGTCTTTGAAGTGAAGGTTTTCCGAAGTTTTTTTCATTATAACATCATAAAATTTTTTAAAAAACGACCTAAAAAACGAAACCCAATGCAGTTTCTTAGGAAACAAATTAACAAGCATTTTAAAGTTAACCAATTTACCAAAATAAAACTTTTGTTTAATATAATCGATATCATATAATATTTTTCCAATGTTAAGATTACTTCAATTTGCTGCACTTGGTTTTTTGTTTGCAGCGGTTGATGCCACCGATTTGGATTCAGATCTCGCCAACTGCCTTCCCAAACTTCTAATAATTGCTTTAAATTCCGCGCACACTTGGCGCCGACTTTGTTTTGTGGATGCGAAACGGAAGGCATTCCCTTCAGATTGAGGGAAATTCGTGCAGCAGATACTTTTTCGCTGCTTTGTTATAATTCCAGAGCCAGTGCGCACACTGCTCCCGCTTCGGTGGCCTTTGTGCCGAAGTCGAAATCGGTAAATAAAGTTTTCAAAGTTGCACAAACTGCCGGCAACAACAACAACAATCCGCCGTAGAGGTGAAGCAAACCAGAGCAGCGGAAAAGCCCCGAAAAACAGGACGAAAAAGAAGCACGCTATGCCAATTCCTTGTACAAGTGCCGCTCGATGCCAACAAGCTCGCAAAAATTCTCCCACTTGGCTACTTGGCTTCTTGGCCAACTGGCAACTGGCAACGGGGATCCCAACTCCCAATTCCCAACTCCCAGGTATCCTAAGCCGGCGAAAACATATCCAACTTTTGGGCCACAACTTGCACGGCTGGCAGCCTGCTGAGCCAAAGCCTAGTCTTAAGCCGAGGACCAACATGAAGTTACCAAAAATCGAGGGAAGAGGGCCAAGAAATCCGGCTTCGACTCCAGAAGTAGCGCCAAACTTTTGTGCACAGCACCATGTTTGGTTTGTCTTTCCAGCTTCCGCTTTTCTCCTTGCCGCTCCGCTTTCCTTTTGCCTTTGTGTGTGTGTTAGTGTGTAAGTGTGTGTGCGTGTGGGCGTGTTTGCGTGGGCGTATAGTTGGCTTTGGCCTTTTTGGGGGCGTCGGAAATGGGGTTTCGGCCTGGTTGCCTGTCAGTTGTCGGTTGGCTTTTGATGCCCATACAGGGTGACATTCTAAGCATGAAGTAAAAACCACTGCTTAAAAAGGTTAGATGCTTACTAAATTTGTAACAGTGGTAAAGGATCTGTTTTTGATCAATTTCCCTCTGAATTTTGTTGAAAACTAATATTTGATAGGATAAGAATTTAATATTAAAAGATCTAACGGCAGAAAAAATTGTGATTTTTTAAGCAGTTATGTGTAGAGCATCAAACGCTAATTAATTAATATAAAATAAAATAGAATTTAATGTAAATATGAAATATAATTTATAACAATAGTTTAAAATTTTTAAAACAACACTGAAATTTAATTATTTAGTACTAATATATTAGGTATAATCCGTTTAACCATGGTCATAAATAAGTTAAGAAAATCTATGGATAATTATCCTAAAACTTTCGGTAATTGTTATATTAATTTTTCTTAGCTTGCAATGGTGGAATAAAATGTAAAAGCCTTTCTTTATATAAAAATTCTACACTTCTTTAACATTTATTGTTGAAATGAACCAATTCAATTACTTGGCCAAGGGATTGAGGAGCACCCTTTCCCGGCTTGTTTATCGCCAACTTTTTGCACCCGCAAAAGTAAAATGCAAGTGCAAAAAAGCACAAAAGAAGACAAGGCCGTTGTTTTTTTCTGCCGCTGCTGCTGATGTTGCTGTTGCTATTGTTGTAGGTGTTCATTTTGTTGTTTCTGTTGTTGTTGTTGGCATTCTGGTCCAGTCGTGCCACTCAAAGCACCAACAGCAGCAGCAACAACTCGAGGAAATTGTCGCCGTCAAGCGGCGAACACGCCAAAGTTGCCGCGAGTGCAAGTGCAAGTATGTCTTTGTGCCCCAGCAGCAGCAACAACAACAACAGCAGCAACACCAACACCAGCAGCAACAGCAGCAACTGCAACACCAGCAACAACCAGCAACATCCAGCAGCAACACGCCCCCTTGTAACCGCCCAAAAGCCATCGCTTGGTGTTGAATTAAAGCCAAGACATCAGGGAATAACAGCAAAAAAAAAAAAAACGCACTTCCCCTGCGCACATGCGCAATGTAAAAAAATGGACGCCGGGGAAGCGGTCGACCAATCAGAACGAAGCTGAGGTGTGGCCTGCGATTCGCGAGGGACTTCCTCTCCACGGAAATTTCCCTCGCTGCTAATAATCACTTGAGACGTGCGCACTGCCAAAGGAGAGGGGGTTGATGCAACCCTTGCACCAAGGGGACAACCCCTGGCGTCACGTGCAACAACGCCAACGTTGCTGTGTTGCCGCGGGCACAAATGCTATTGTTGTTGTTGCTGCTGTAGTTGTTGTTGCCGCAGTTGTTGCTCTGCTGCTCCGTTGCCTCAGTTGCTTTTGTAAACAGGCGCAGGCGCACTGCGCGGGGGTAAATTTCAGCTCATTTCAGCTGGGATTTTCTCGGCTGGGCAAAGTGAAATGCTTTGATTTCGCTGATTGTCCGATCACACGCCAACTGACAGCGAACGCGGCTGGTTGTCCTCGCTCCTCGAAAACGGAAACATAAACTTCAACTCGAACCCAAAGCGAACAGTGAATATACGAAGTAAAATTAAACAAAGACTCGAATTCGCGAGTGTGTGACGGGGAGTTTTTCTAAGTGTGTGCCGTGTTGCATGTTGGCTTTTGGAGACTCGAAACTGAATACTAAGTAGTGTGTGCTCGTGGTAACTTGTATAAGATGCTGGAGTTTTACCCAATGCCCACGAATCTGAATCCAGTCGGTGGCAGCTTGTACTCGCTGCAACAGAATCATGGCGGGGCACGCTTCCTGGACAATCCCAATCCCGGCAGCATGACAGCCAACGGCAGTAATTCCCTGCACCTCAGCAATAACAATAACAACAACAGCATTTCCGGCAACAACAGTCCCACAACAACGGCTTCATTAACGGGGCAGCAGCAACAGCATCAGCAGCAACACCCCCACCAGCAACATCAGCAACACCAGCAGCAACACGCAGCCTCGACCACGCCAGTGCCAATTAACAGCTGCCCCACGCCCACAGGACACAGCCCCCTCAACAGCAACAGCAACAACAACAACAGCAACAACAATAATAATAATGGCAGCAGCAACAACAACCTCAACTCCGCCTGCAACACATTAACAGCTGCTGCTGTTGCTGCTGCTGCCGCTGCTGTGGCAGCTCCATCGGCGGCAGCAACCTCAGTTGCCACCTCGCAATTAGGCGGAGCAGTTGCTGCTGCCATTGCTGCTGCCGCTGCGACGACAGCAACATCGGCCCCCGCGGCAACAGGAAACGGAAATGGCAATGGGGGAAGCGGAAGTGGAGGAACTGCTGCTTCTGCTGCTGCTGCTGCCGCTTCTGCTGCAGCAACGGCCTCGGCAGCAGCGGCATCCAAATTGTCTGCCGATTGTAGTGGACGCACAGGTATGTTCCAAAAGTATTTTGCACCGGCAGTCGAGGCATTTTTGCCGGCTCGTTCCGTTTCTGGGGTTTTCACGCTTTTCGTTTTTGGCATAGTTGCGTGTGCCCGGCCTGCGGCTCCGAATCGCAGTCGCAGTCGCAACCGGAATCGGGAGCTCCGTGGCTCCAAGTTGGCCGAAGAACGGGGCTCCAGATTGTGTACGACCGCCCACACCTGGCGGTGTTGGTAGTTTGCGTGCGATTTCCTTGGGTTTTCCGGGCCGAAGGAATTTTCCTTTTGGGGGAAAATATATTTCTTGATTTTTTGCCACCGATAAACTTTATTTCGGGGTGGTTACTTTAATTTTTGAATCGCTTAATTTGCATTGCGCATCAGATTTGTGATTGTTTTATATTTTAAATCCTTTGAACGAAATTTTAAACAAGAAAACTCGAAGTTAAAGAAAGAAAGAAGACTTACATTTTTGCAGTCAAAGATACTAGCGAATACATTTAATATTTCACTCCCAAATTATTATTTTGTGCATAAGCCATTATTAGCCTTTTATATTTTCTTAAAATCAAATAATAAAGCCAAATTAAAAATGTAACAAATATTTATTTCGAAGCTTCATAAAATTACTTTTAATATTAGTTAACACTTTAAAACTATTAAATCTCAGATCTGATATTACATTAAATTCTTACACTTATTTCTCACGATTTTGTTTAGAGTTCTTACGCTTCGTTTGTTGCGGTTTTTAATTCACATAAAGTAGTGTTCATTATAAATTTTAACAATATTTACCTAATATTCTGTTTGATTAAGGGACTAATTAAAAATCCGGGTTGTGCGCTATCAAAGAGTCAGAGCTACTTTGCGAATTAAATTGCCAGAGGAATACTTCCATTTAATCTGGCTTTGATTTAAATTTGTTTCTGGCGTTTGGCAAATAAAAACACGCAAATGCGAATGCAAAACTCGGTGCTTAAACGTTTATTGACAAAGGCTATAAATTATGATTCTGTGACGTCGCACACATGTTGGGGATATATAGTTAAATGGGCGGATGTGTGGATAAGTGGGAAGTCGGGCGAAAGTATTTCCAAAAGTATGAACGCAAGTTGACCACAAAATAATTTTGACAATGAACCTGGCTGACATCCGCCCGGCCAGAGGGCGTGGCTCGTCCAATAAAAGGCTATTAAGGCATGCCGCATCCTTAAACTCACACACACACATGTGCGTTGGCATGCACACACACGAATACACACACTCTCATCAACTTGTACGACAGCCTCAAAATAGGCAACACTTTTCAGCTGAGCTGCAACGAAAGTGTTGCTGGGAAAACTTTTGCGAATTTCCCTCCGAAATGCAAAGTGTGCAAACAATGTGTGATGCATATGTGCAGACCAGACCGAGTCTCGTCCGAGGCTAAGTGGATTGTGTTTTTTGGCTTTTTTAGGATCCTCTACTCAGTCAACCAACCATTCACCCATAACTGCTCCTTTTGCCGGCAAACTTTGGATTTGCCTATGAAATTTCTATTAATGCTCGCATTCTGCCATTTGCCATTGCCAAAATGGCAGCAAATAGTTTCCGTTTCCGCCAACCCCACACTCCCATTTTCCCATTTCCTGCGCAAACACTTGGCTGCCTGTCGACTGCTGCTAAACTACTATCAGTGGCCCCACTTTCCAGAGGTCGAGGAATTTCGAACGGGTGAACGGGCGCAAGGCCTTGTGGGCTGGGTATCCGAGGGCAGACCACGGAAATGAGCACACTCAGTGTCAGGTATTCCACCGAGCGTATCAGCATACATATCTGGCTTCTGCGGTGGCTCCAACTTCTCCCAACTGCGGCCGCCTTCTCCAGTAGGTGTGCATTTGTGTGGTGCAAGTATGCGCCGAACGCATAGCTCTCTGTCACTTTCCCGTCGAGATCCACCTACACTGGGGTGAAAATCCTGCATATTTCAAGAACTTGTTCTAAAATAGTGTACTTTATAAGCCCTTGGTTTAATATAACATTCAACAAACCCTATAGAACTTACAAAAATATTTTAACTACTCATTGAAATTATTTGAAAATATTCAAACTGAAGGTTTAACTTAAGATAGATAAGCGCATTGTTACCTTAAAGATTAATATTTTATATTGCGAACAAGCATTATAAATATTTACTTATGCATCACATTAAATACACTCTTTTTTCAAGAATATTAAATATTGTTTTGAAAATGGCTTTTTTTTAACTCCCATTAGATATTTCAAAAGACAAAGCGGTTGTTAGCTAATAATAAATCCGTACTTTGCCTAACCTTTCCCAAAGATAAAACCATCCAGTTTTAAAGAGGCAGTTGTCAGGCGTAATTAAAGCTGTCCCATTATGAGCTGTCTGTCAACGAAGAGTTGCTGCCAAAATCCGCGTGGCACGTGGACGGGTCTCCAGTTGGCAGCCGAATTAGTGGCAGAAGTTCGGCGCTGTCCCCCAATTTATCTCCATAGACCTCCGCCTGCCTGTCAATGTGTCAATAAATGCACCATACTATATAGTGCGACAATCGAGCGAGGGGCGCTCAGCAGATAGATGATAAGCCAGTTTATCGGCGATAAGGCCGAGGACATTGCGACGCTGTCGACTATTAGCTGGTTTTATTTTTTATTTTTCCTGTTTATCATCGAGTTGATTTTGGAATTATCTGCTGTTTAATCTATGTATTTGACATGAGTGTGCCGCACTTGTTTCAACTGTTTGCGCTTGTTGTTTGTTGATTTTCGGACAAGTTTCGCCAAGGCTTCAATGAAAGCCAGCCAGACTAGAAAATCCCTAAAACACACACACACACCCATACACACACCCGCAATAAAGCTTCCTTTGATAACTGGAAACAAAACAGAAACTCCGAAAAAACGAGGATAGGCATTCATAAAACTGCAGCCAAATACCATAAATTTCGATTAGATTACACAAACGAAATCCCGTCACAATATCGATGCTCAAAGCTCCGGAAAAAAGGGCCAGAATTCGAAACGCTGCACCCTTTAGGGCTTTCATCGAATGAATCATGCTTGATTTTTTGTTTTGAGCTGCAAAAACCTTTATCGCCAATGCGATTGGATATGGAAACTGCACAATGGGAGGATGGGAGTGCAAAAAAAGCGTCGAGGACATTGTCAACCATCCGCTGCACTGGCTTAGCATACAAAGAGCGATTTTTGTCCCTATTCCCCTTACTATATATATACACACACACACACACAGAGAAACACACGCACATCTGCATAGATATAGCAACTGAGTGGGGACGCCATTGTGCCAACCATAAATCATGCACATTTTTCTGCCACTGAGCCACAGCCATATAATATAACACTCCACTCTCCCAGTCTTCCCCCGCTTTTCCTCGCTTTCCTCGCTTTTCCCCAACTCGCTGCTCATTTTTCAAATGCTTCCATACATTTTTCGTGGCGGTCGTCATATATTTTTTATGTTTACTGCAGGCAGCTTTTGTTGTGTTTTCGGGTACTACTTTTTATGACTGGTTTACAGTTTCAAGAGCGCGTCTACGGGCGGAGGATTAGAGGCGTTCCACTTTGGCAAAGGGGAGCTAAAATCCCGAAGCTCCTTAATAGAAGATTAGCACTTTTTAAGGGTCTCCGTTTAGGAGTTAAACATCAGCTTTAAATCGGTAGCGTAAGCGAAACCAATTGAGTCATTGTGGGTGGAATATGTACAGATAATCGAGGCGATTTCGTTCGATGATAACAAGAAATACAGGAAACTTTACGTTTCAATTACGCATCAACAAGCTTTCAATACAAGCTGTTACCGAACGGCGACAGATAATTTTTTCCCTCGAAGAGTTTCTTTCTGTTTTTCCCGAACTGCTAAACAGCGAACGGAAAAACAAGGAGACGCTGAAGCATTTTCACACGATTCGATTGTCAGCGCGGTCCTTGCGCCATTGGCAGCACATGTCATGATAATTTCGCAGCGACATGTGCTGCCAGCACGTATACGCCACGTACGCCCATCACTGCCGGAATAGGGGAATAACGAACGCAGCACTGCGGGAAATGAACTTACAAATCGTGTTTTTAAACGATAAAAATTACTTTCATCCGTGAACCATATTAAAGCTTATTAAAAATATTATTATTATAATTTGCATTCTACCTGGCTAAGAATTTAAGAAGTTATTATTAGTTAAATTGTTTTTGTTTTATCATCATTCTAATTATTAAGTGAAATTTGTAATTCAATAATATTGTTTTTGTTACTCTAACAAGCATTACAACTGAATCAGATAAATGCAGATTAAACATAGTAAATGTTATTTTATTGAATTGGGGCTTCACACTCTTTTTCTCTAAGTACATAAGCTATGCTAAATCGATTGTGCGACTTACTAACGCTGCTTTTTCCCCCTCTCCTTATTTCCTCCCCAGAAGTGGGTCACATCAAGTGCGAGAAGAACTTCGAGCTGTGCGAGGGCTGCGGCCAGAAGATCCACGACCGCTTCCTGATGAACGTGGGCGAGGCCAACTGGCACGAGCAGTGCCTGGCCTGCTGCTACTGCGGGATGCAGCTGCACCACACCTGCTACGTGCGCAACTCGAAGCTCTACTGCAAAATGGACTACGACCGACTGTTCGGGGTGAAGTGCGCCTCCTGCTGCCACGCGATCCTGCCGCAGGAGCTGGTGATGCGACCCATTCCGAACTTCGTCTTCCACCTGCCCTGCTTTGTGTGCTACGCCTGCCGGTTGCCGCTGCAAAAGGGTGAGCAGTTCCTGCTGCGGGATGGCCAGCTCTTCTGCTACCGCCACGATCTCGAGAAGGAGATGTTCCTGGCCGCCGCCGCCGCTCAGCATTGCGGGTTCGTTGGCCTGGACGAGGAGGATCTGCTGAGGCCACGCGATGGCAGGAGGGGCCCGAAGCGACCCCGCACCATCCTCACCTCGCAGCAGCGCAAGCAGTTCAAGGCCTCCTTCGACCAGTCACCCAAGCCCTGTCGCAAAGTGCGAGAAGCCCTGGCCAAGGACACCGGACTTTCGGTTCGCGTGGTGCAGGTGTGGTTCCAGAATCAGCGGGCCAAGATGAAGAAGATCCAGCGGAAGGCCAAGCAGAGTGGCGGCTCCGGGGGATCTGGCAGTGGGCGTGGCACGGGCAACTCGAGTGCCAACGATGACAAGGACACCAACGATAAGGACGACAAGTGCGTCAAGCAGGAGTTGGGCGGAGACAGCTCGGGATATCTGGGCGCGATGGACAACACTTTCGCAAGCCAGCCACTGAATCCCAACTTGCCCTTCTCACCGGATGGTAAGTTAAAAACTATTGGATTACTTTTTATTTCAAAAAAATCTGTTATATCTTAAAAGTAATCATATACTAACTGGATATTTATAGATTCGTTTGATGTAGAAAAGTTCTAGTTTAACTGCAATCTTCAAGTACTAATTAATTTTTGTATTACAGACTATCCGGCTAACTCGAACGACAGCTTCTGCAGCTCGGACCTCTCGCTGGATGGCAGCAACTTCGACCCGCTGGACGACGATGCGGACTCGCTGTCGCTGAACAACCTGGAGCTGCAGTCGACCAGCTCCTCGGGCAACCAGCATTCGCACTCGCACTCCCACTCGAATCCCCACGACATGCTGGCCAACCTGAACAACAGCCTGATAAACCCCATCGACAAGCTGTATCTTATGCAGAACTCGTACTTCAGCTCCGAGCACTAGGCACTAGCACTCGATTAAGCGATCGAGGGATAGAGACGAATTTATTAGCGTTAGAGTGGCAGAATCCGAGTGGAAAGGACACCGGGTCCTTGCTGTTACTTTACACGTAGCGCGTAGTTTTCACCTCCGCATTCGGCGCTTGAGGCGGCGGCATTAAGTTGGAGTTGTAGAACCAGATACAAGATACATCAAATGTGATTTTTTTAAGCTAATTGAAATTTTAAGATTCTTGGCGATTTGAACGCGGCGCAAAGAGGCGGACAGCAAATTTTGTTGTTAGTCTAGACTCTAGAGGCAAAGGAATGTAGAATACCCGAAATGGTTAATCGGTCAATATGTGCCCCCTATGTTTGTAAATAGTTTTAGCCCCCCGAGAAAATTGTTATTAAATGTAATTTAAAAGTCAATAATTGTATTAGCAAGTGCAATTTAATCTGTTCCCCTAAATATACATCTTAACCGAATTCTTGCAAAATCTTTGACTTTTCTTTGGGATTTCACAGAGCTGTGGAAATTGTATTACATTAATAAAAGAAATGGGGCTAAAGAAAGGTTATGAAATTTTGATATATCTTTTTTTTATTTTATATCAAGTCTTTTTATTTTGACTTAGTATATTTTAATGTTGATTTAAAATCTTTAAGTTTTTTCTATGCATTTAAAAATGGTTTAGAAAATAATGCAGTATGTTTTATATTGCTTCATATTAAAATAATTTTATTTGCACTCAAAATAAATAAAATCATATAATTCTAGAAACATAATTCATAACATAACATTCATTGGTATTAAATTTATACATTTTATTGCTATATAATTAAATCACCGTTAACGGCAATATTTTTTTTCAGTTGAAATTCAAAATCGAATTTCCCGCTTTTTTGCTGCCTGTCTAAAGCTAACAGATATGAAATACAACCTACGGCATCTCACAAAGCCTTACCATACTGTCAAAAATAGAATGCCGATAGCATTACACCCGATAGCAATTTGTTTGTTATCGATTTTGCCAGAGTTGTCACACCTCTAACCACACATCGAAAACAACGCGTTCTGCAGAAATTGCAATAAACAATAACAATGGTAAGAAATTGCAGTTTTTATAGAATGTAATAACTAACTTAAGTTTGTTTTGTAATCCGTAGCTCTTTTACTCGTTCTTCAAGTCGCTGGTGGGCAAAGAAGTGGTCGTCGAACTCAAGAACGACCTTAGGTGAGCAACGTTTACTTTGCCGGCAAAATGAGACTTATCTCTAAATATATTTGCTTTATATAGTATATGTGGCACCCTGCATTCGGTGGACCAGTATCTGAACATCAAGCTGACGGACATCAGTGTCACGGATCCGGATAAATACCCGCATATGTTGAGCGTTAAGAACTGTTTTATCAGAGGCTCCGTGGTTCGCTATGTGCAACTTCCTGGCGACGAGGTGGACACCCAATTACTGCAGGATGCGGCTCGAAAAGAGGCTGTTGTGAGCACGAGATAGAATCCCATCCAAGGAACTACCCAGGATCTAAAAATAGTGACCTAGATCTGCCCTACAAACTAAGTGAAATTCTGTTAAAAGCAAAAACCAATAAGAGGAATCGCCGTAAGAAAGTGCCGCCTTATTTACGGTCCATCAGTTTTTGATGAGTCAGTCTTGAGGTTTTCGGGGTTTGAGCCTTCTTTTATGTGTGTTCCCGCTCTCTTTTTTTATCGCTCCACGCTTGAACGGAGCATGTGGAATGTAGGCCAAGTTTGCGTCATGTTGATAATGGTCCATAAATTTGTATAATTGCTGTAACGACATCCTGATGTCTTGTTTCTTGTCTACACATCACCGAATAGATACTTACATGGCCTCCGAAGTGGGAGGCTATATATACGAGCGTATGTACTCGCAGCCCGCTTTACGATTGCTATTATTGCTCGGCCCTCGAATTCAACCTTTTATCCCCAATAAAACGGAGGAGCCTGGCGGAATGCTTTTAATTTCTGGACCTCGACCCGCTCGTTAAGTGCCGCCCGGTCGGTCCGCCATCGAATCGCTTTGTTGGCTGGAATGCGTACTTAAAATGAAATACGCACTCGTGGAACACTTTTGCCCGGCATTTACATTTCGGAATGGCCACCGACTCGCGCTCTAAACTTTGCCAGTTGGTCAGCGGAACCTTACGGAAAATCAAGCAATCAAAAGTTGAAGGTTTACAGCGAGAAAAAATATTTAACGCGCTACTCCTCGTTTTTAGTAGAATTTTAAATTGAAGCAAAAACAAAATGACTCAATGGAATTAAATTTTATTTAAAATCTAGATAATCTTGGGCAAATCTCTGTGAAACTTGTTATCCTGACATTATCAAGGCTCAAAAGATTTTTTGATCAGTGTGGTAAACTCGGAGTTCGTCTGCCTGCGCATAATTAAGGGGGAGGTTTTTAGGTGGGGAGGACATCGAAACCACCGCAACGGAGTCCATCTTTCATTATTCGTGGTAATTGGGTTCCTGTTTCCGGCACGGCCTCAAAATTCTAAACTTAGTCTTCTAGGCGCATTTTCGGGCGCATTGTTCGTCTGCTCGCAGAAATTGTTTTGCATTTGGGCCACAAACTTTTCTAGTGGAATGGGTTCTTATTTCTGAATGGGTGTTTTGGAAAGGGCGAGTGTCCCCGGCTTTGCCCTATCGCGATGGGCCATGGGTGCTGGGCGACCTCCGCCTGTGCTGGCCGTAAAATTCCGCAATATACCCGTGCTCGGGGTGGACGTGAGCCCCGCCGGATTTATGGCGAAACAGCCAGCTAGTTCATCAACGTGTTGAGCTGTGCGTGGCGCGTAAAAGTTGGCTCGTAAAGCTTCGCAAGGATCGTTTGGGTTTTATTAAAAAATAAACTATACAAATTTGACACAGATTATTTATACATAAGTACGCACCGAAGTGCGGAGCACATGAATATGCAAACGGGATGACGGGATAGATGGGCGCAAAACATGCGGCATTGTGGAAATCCAACCATTCCGCCGGAGGATTCGCATAATGCAGTGGAATCCTTTAATGACACATGTGCGTATGCTTCATCCTCCGGAATCGCCAGGAGCATCCGTTCGACTCGAGGGACTTTTCGACCAAATTGAATTGTGGTGTTATTTGTAATTCGTTTTGAGTCCCTCCGTCTTCATCTGCAAGTTGGTATTTCCAGTTGGTCGTAAATTATGGATTCCTTTGGGAGAGTGCCGTTTACAAACGAGAAATACGATTCTAAGTGAAGTGAACTCGAAGGATTAAAAACTAAAATAAACCAAACTAACATAAGAAACTATAAAATATGAACATGAGTTAGGATTAGTTGTTAAGTTTCTTAAATTATGTGTGTAAAAGAACAAGGAATCTTAAAGTTTTAGGTCTTAATGTATTTTTTTTTTTTAACGAGAACTCATTTTTGTTTAAACTTTGTACAGTGATTTTAACACTATTTTAGGTATTGTTTGAAAAGATGAGGTAGCCACAATTTCTTCACAAATTCATTAATTAAAGTATGTACAATTGTTTTGTTTACCCTGTTTTTGGCTGTTTATTTTTCACACATTTAGACAATTGATTTTTGGGTTGTGTACTAAGAAAAACAAAATGGAAAACTGATATTTGCTTTTAATTAACTTCACAATGTTGCCCTGCTATTAAGAGAAACTCATATTTAGTCATAAATTTGTTATCCAATTAAACAATCATTTAATCTGAAATAGCATTTGAACTGCCTTTGATTGCACTTTGATGTTAATTGTTTGTGTTGTAGGCTAGGAGATTAAAATGGAAAACATGCGAGGGATTAAGAATCTGGCATTCATAGTGTTATATTTAATTTCACAACCTGATTTGACAGCGGAATTTTAATGTGTGCTTAATTACCTACAGGCTAGTTAGTTGGATAGACTTAGTTATAGTATTGTATAGTATTGACTGCGTATTACTTACACTTCTCAAGATAGTGTATTTAACATTAGTAAAAATATATATAAGACTATCTTAATCAAAGTGAACATGTTTTATTTCAATAAACAAAATTATGAAAAATGTTTTTGATTTAAGAAGCAACCAAAAATAAGAAAAAGAAGAAACTAAAGTTTATCTGATCATGAGTTTCTCCCAATGCCCGGCAACTTTTCCATACGAACTATTGCTAAAATCTAGTCTAAAATCTACTCCTAAGTACACCCATTGTGTTTGAAGACTTAACTCTCGATTAGCATTATCTAAGCACAAGTTGCACGTGTTGCCCCGGTGATCTGATCATCGACGCCTCCACAATATCCTTCTCCTCCTCCCAAGGAGAGAATCAAATCCGCTGGCAGTCGCCTCACTGCACTGGAAGCTCTTGGAGTTCTAGCTGCCGTCGCACCAGCTCCCTGCTCAGGCAATGGCAGCAGGAGCAGGCGTCCTCCGTCGCCACATCCGCTGTAATGTCCGGTGCATCCGCCACGTAAGCCGGTGCATCCGTTGTCGCCAACGCCGCCGCCGCCATCGCCAGCTGCTCTCACACGCTCGACACCCGCTCGTTGTTGTCCAACAGCCCGCTGGCCACGCCCACCCCCACGCCGCCCCTCTGGCTGTCGTAGCTGAGGACCAGCGTGGTGGGCTTGTCCTGCAGCAGGAGTCGCTGCTGGTGCTCCTGCTCCCTCAGGCAGCTGGGATGCCGGGCCAGTAGGGCGGATCCCTTCCTCAGCAGCTGTGGTGTCGCACTGCTGGACACGGAGCCACCGGAAGGACCTGTTCCGGGACCCACGTGCAGGAGGCCCACCTGCTCTTTGAAAGCGCCACCGCCTCCGATGGCGGAGCCACCCGTTCCGTTGCTGGAGCTGCGGTAGTAGCTCTGCTGGCGGAAGGCCCGCATCTGGCGGGAACTGCCACCTGTGCCGTCCACTTGCGTCACCGCCGTCAGCATGGAGGGAGTGCGCTGCGAGTCGCCCCTGGAAAGGATGGCAAGTGGGCGGGGGAATGGACGATGCGTGAAGGTGATAAAACCAGACGGAAAAGAATTTATCAGTTTATTGCCAATCAGTTTTTGTGTACTTTTTTGTGGTATCAAAGTAATCATATGCGTGTGCGAAATCATAGCAACCCAAACAGTTTGCAAAATCTCTACATGAAATTACGTAACAAATAATTAAATAGTGCAAAATAATAACTATAAACTGCTTTACGAAATTTAAACAAACTAATTTTCAAAAAGGTTTGAAGGTGTGAAGTTTTTATAAAAGTCTAATCATCATTTTTAAATTGTTCATTTTTAATGGCATTTTATTGTGTTTTTTTTTCCTATTTACAGCTTTAAAATTGTTTTACTAATGTCAGAGCTTATTTAAAATAATTAATCACACTTTGAAGTATTATATTTCACCAAAAAATAAGTAAGTCCATGGTAGGTGCTGTAAAAACACCTCAAAATATTATGGTTTAATTATTGGCTTATCAGTAAACAATAAAGTTTGTAGTATCGGAATATTGTATAATCGTTTTTTATATTTAATAAACACGCAACTATAATTTAAAGGTCCCCCATTCAACAGCTGTGAAAATATTTAGTTATTCATGTGTTCCCCTAAAATAAACGATTTTAAGGACGCAAAAAATGTTTAAACGACGTGGATGTGTATTGTCTCGGCAAACAATGACTATTTTGATACGAAAAAGTTTCAATTTGAAAGTGTAATTTGTTTTAAACGTTTGTTGCTTTTATGTGCGGCTTGACCACTCACCTATTCAGGCTGTAGGCGTTGTTGTTGCCGCCTCCGCCGCTCGACTTGCTTCCCTTTCCGGGACACAGGTGGAAGGCTCCGTAGATGAGCGGGTTGACCAGGCTGTTCGACATCCCAAAGAAGAAGATGGCGTCCTGCAGATCGTCGCCCAGCTGCAAGCAATGCGGAAAATTCAAATTAATTTCCTCATTCAGACCCTTTTGTGGTGCTGTTTTTGTTTGAGCGGCCAGTTTGTGGGCGTTTTGCGGTTCGCTTGAGTCTTTGTTGCCTCTGGATACCCTCAGCTGAAGGTGTTTTTAACCGAGCAGCTTTAACAGATCCTTTCTGGACTAATTCCTTTTAATTTTAGCACTCTTCACAAGCGGAATAAGTAAACAGAAAGAGGTTGGGGATTTCCAGGAAAGTGCACGTAAATAAGTTCCCCTTTTATTTGCATTTGTTGAAAATATTTAAAGGTCAAAAGTCAGTTATCCAGAATTACTAACCAAAATGTGCATGTTGATTACATTACATTTTTAATTGGAACATTTAACAAACAGACTTATTTGAACCCAAAATAAATGGAATTTTAATTAAGTAAAATTCTTAATAATTATACTTTAATTTGTAATTAATTATTTGCACAAGAAATATAAATGATATTTCCACACCTTTTCTTTTTCTACGAAAAACCTTAATAAATAGTGCAAAAAAAGGAGAATAATCTGTAATGACAAATACCTTCGCAGGAAAAAACGTTTCCTGATTAATTATTTCTCTAAGCCCCTAGAGGATTCCTAGGGTCTGGCTAACCGATGCCATGTACTCGGCAATTCCCTTTCTGGCCAAGCGGCCATAATCTTCTACCTCCGAAAAAAGCTTTTACGGGCAATCTCTGGCAAGTCATCAAATTTGGGTAGCAGTTAAGGAGAAATTGCGACCGGCCGGTCGGGTGCCGTAACGATTAATTAAAAATTGAGCATAAGAAATCATTTTTATGTGCGCCGGTCCGTTGAAAAGCGTGGAAAAGATTGTGGCCCTCAACGGATTTAGCATCTGCGACTAAGCCGAGTACTCCTACTCGGATTCCTTCACTTTTCAACGTCCCCGCAGGGCCATAAACACGGGACAGAAACAACAAAGGGCTTCTGCTGGCACAGCATTCCAATACCTCGAAATAAACTGACAAATCGACTGCTGATTGATGTGCGTTCGGATTTAGTGGATGCCAGGAATCGCTATCTGCACGTCATTCGGCCCGCCGGAAATTTCGAACCAACGGAAGGCGCAGCCTTTTGAAAGCGACTCACCCTTTTGTCCGGATTGAGAAACATGAACATAATCATCATGACGTAGTAGGGAGTCCAGCAGATGAGGAAGGCGATGATGATCACCACCGAAATGCGAAGCGACTTCATTTTGGCCTTGTGTATCAGCCGCTGGCGATTCGTCTGTGTTGGCAACTTGGCCGTCGAATAGTTGGCCAACTTGGATCCCTGGAACATCTTTTCGCTGCCTGCCGTTGTGTAGGGAATTCTAAGCTGTGACCTTGACTTCAATTACACGTTACTCACTCGAAATGGTGCGGAATGTAGACATGTAGGTGCCGAACAGGATGCACAGCGGCAGTAGGAAGGTGAAGACGAGTGTGAAGGTGGCGTACATCTGCTCCTGCCAGTCGGCCGTGTAGAATCCGTGGGTTACGCACTGGTAGAACTCTTCCACGAAAGGACCCCGGGCGACGTGGAATATGAAGAACTTCAGCGCCATCCATCAACATCAAAGGGAGCAGCGATAAATAAACCAGAAATTAAATGTCAGCTTGTAATTGCAAAAAGATTTTAGATCTCATATGAATACAAGTCAATATTATTTGTGGGTAAGTATTGTACAATCTTAGTTTCTAACTATTTAATTTTACTATATTCAAATCTTTCTTTGAAAATGCCCACCAAACCTTTAAACCTTTAAAAAGTAACACAAATCGATTTGACCTATTAACGCATAAATGTCGTTGAAAGTGGTACTTGGTAAATATTCCGTATTCCTTTTGCAATAAAAAGGAAATGTAAACACAGACTTGTTTACATGGAAATCCACATGCGAGCCATAGTAACAAATTGCTGACGCAGAACGCAAAGCGACTCTTTGATCTGCTCCTCGTTGGGCAGGAAAAGGACTTCAGTTCAGACCTAAGTGAAAGCCTATTTGGTTGCCTTCTTTATTTTGATTATACCCGTAATTGAAGGAGCATTTTCGGGAACTGTATTCCGTTAACGAAAGCCTAATCCATTGTTTGGAGTATTCTGGGAAGAATATCTTCGGGGAAAATCCCATTGGAAAACCTCGGGGCTGGCCAGAGCTGATAAAGCGGGTGTTTCCCCAGCGGATGGATGTGTCAGCGCATAACTAATACGCTAAAAGTCTTTTTATTTGCACTTTTTATGGGTTTCCTGTCAGCCGCTGTGTCAACAGCTGACCCGAATGGAGGAACTTGGCACGCACAAGTAAGCAGCGTAGTAAAACTACATAAAAGCCACGGGACTAACGAGAAACGGATAAACGTATAAATGGCTGGTTTTTATTAATTTCGCACATTTATAACTTCCAAGCCATTGCCCCGGTCAAAACAGAGCGCGATGTACAGCTCAATGTTACCAGGGGATATAGATCGATATAGGTCAGGGCCACGAGGAAAAGCAGATGTGAAAAGCACTTACTAGTTCAACTTATTTGCTTCTCTTGAACACTCAAACACTGCAAGCTCGGTTGAACCTACTTATTCAACCAACCTTTTGCCACTGTTCATTTGTTTCAGTTACTCTCCTGTTTGGTTTTCATTAAGAGCTAGAAAGTCCAAGAAACCCAGAACTTTGCAGCACTTCCCCGCAAGCCATGGGAATTATTTATGAAGAAGCTGCAAGTTGCACAGAAACTTTTTACAAAAGCATTCTGCAAGTAAATTGAAAATGGTTTTAAACAGTATGCCCTTCTGGATAATTGCCTTTAAAAACATTGAGAATTTCATGTTTTTCAGTGAATTAATTTTTAAATGTTGTATAGTTATTTAAATACATATTTCATTAAATTATTTCAAAGCACTAAAATCTATTAAGACACTGTTTAAATAAAAATATAACAAAATAAAAAAAACTATCATAAAATATAAATATTTTATATTATATTTTTATATGATTACCTATGTATATATTTCATTTTTCTTTTTTGGTATATCTCATGCAGTATGTATGTGAATAAACAAATTGAAAAGCGGAATTTAAATGCAAGGTGTTGGAATAAGTCAATTCAAAAGTTGATATTGATTCCGAGAAAATTCTAATTTCTTGTTCTTGAATGTGGTACTTTTGTTGCTTATTGAATTAGGGTAACAAGAATACCTCCTGGAGACCTGTGAACTTGCGACTGAGTCTATTATGCCAGGGTGTTTTCTTTGTGCCAACTTGAGTTCACATTGGGCTTTATTGTGTCGGGAAAGTCGCTACGCGCTGTCCCATACAAAGATGTTTTCCGGGCAGAGGGAGAAGGAGTCGAATAAATGCTGCTGTTGAAAACATTTGTTGTTTATTGGCAGTCGAAGTGAATTTTCATTTCGCTTTTTTATTTGAAACCAACAAGCTCAGCGATGCGTCTCATATTGGATTCGATGTGGCTGCTTACCAACATGTGCTGGTTGGTGCATGGACGTGTGACAACGGCAAAGTTGTCCGGAAAATTGTTTCCGATGCTTGCCTCACTTTTGGCCAAGAGCTGGGCGCTTTTGGCCGCTCCTTTTTGGCCGTCACGTCTGTAAGCCGCATAAATTTTATGTCGCATGTTCAATAAAACGAAATGAAGAAAGTTTCTCCATGTTTCTCATCTCGAAAGCGAAAAGTGGACCATAAAAAGTGGCATAATGATTGCAAAGTTTCTTTTAATTGGGTGACAGTGGCCCTTTAATTATGTAACAATATTGGCATCGGGCAGCTAAAAATGAATTCTGCAATGTCATAAGGACATTGGAATCCGCTCATAAAATATTTACGACTCAACTGACAGTTGAACAAACTTCGAGTCTCTTTTAAAATGCAGACCATTACATTATGTCCTTTTTATTATGGCTTGTCGGGACTAGAAGTCAACTTCAATTGACCTCAACCTTCTTCAAAATTTGCCAAAAATTCAGCTGAGGCGGAGGTGGGGCTCAGAAAAAAACATCAAAATGTAATTAGGATATTTTCTGTGGCATTTAAACAAGTCAGACATTTTGACGAGCTGGCACGCACTCGCTTTCACACCCGGAAACCCACACTCACACACACACACTTACACACACACATACACATATTGGGGGAAGCGTGGCAAACATAATCTCGCCTCGGATTTGGCAGTGCTCCGGAAATTATTGTTCCACGCCATATATTATTCAGATAAAAGAAAACCAGGCTCACGAAAAATGGCGTCAATGTGGTTAATTCTCCTAATTAAATGCGCAAAATTATAGCATACATTTGAGCGCGACGCCGGAAGAAAATAAAAGAGGAAACGTAGGAGTTGCACGGGAAAAGTTGAGTGGGAAAATAAGGACAACTTGTAACTGTCTCTCTTCCCTTTTCCTAAGCCTAAGTACCTGTCTATTTAAAGATCTCCAAGGTGGGTGATTTGTAAGCCGGAGGTCAAGCCTTTGTGCCCACTTGATTTTATGGCCAGCCGCCAACGCTTAACTCAATTTGAATATCAAACGAGCAGAGCTAAGTTTTCAGCCACTTTTCAATCAAACTAAATTAGTTCCCGCCTCCTGGGAGACTTTGAGTGCCCATTCTGTCTAATTACCTGCTGTAGACACCGCCTAAAGTCGAATTTCCTAGAAGTTGCTCCTCGAGGAGCAACAGTCAGGAGCATCGCACTCCGGTTAATCTGATAAATGAACGGACTGCGCAGGAAAAACACCCGAGGCCATAAATCAGGGACAGCGAATCAAGTATGAAATCGGGTTGCGGGGACACACGGCATATATTATACAATCAATGTGCCGGAAAGCTGAGGCCGAGTTCTAGAACAAAGCGAGGGATTCCCATTAATGCAGTCCCATTCAGGCTTATCCGCCGGCTGGCAGGCAAAAAGGAATATATCACCCGGCCTATCTGTTCACAATGAATCGGGGAATCGGGGAATATGAATAATGTCTGTCGTCAGGCAGACACTTGCCGCCAGATCAGAGTTTCGACCTTTTTTTGTCGCTTGCTGAAAGGAAAACCCTTTGTTGTTCGGGCGCCCGGAATTCGATTGGCTGACTGTCCCATCCGCCCAACACCAGAAAAAAAGGCACGTGTGTGTGGGCGTGGCAGCGGCCTAAAGCCACATTTAGTGCACACTTATTGTGCGAAAGGCAATCATTTTTAATGTCTGCACACATTCTGGCGCCTACTCAAGACTATTTGCGCCCAGCCACGGGGCGTATACGTGTTATAAAGTAAACATATTACACATTACTCCAACCTCATCAGCATGAGGGCAAAGTGGATTGGAGGAGGGCCTTCGACGGCTGAGCCCCGGCTTTAACTCGGCGTAATGGAACGCCCTGGGAAAGCGACTGCAGATTATTTTCATAAGCGTGCCATTCCCGCACTTATCTCTCGGATTCCTTCACGCGAAATTCCTCCCTGCGACTGCCTTTTTCTCGGAAAGAAATCAGCTGCGCCCAGGTTAATTGAATCTGATCGGAAGTAATTGCATTTTAAAGCAAAAATGTTCTTGGAGATATAGATTTAAGTGAGCTAAGCAAAAAAAAAAAAAAAGGTCCTTAATTTTTAATATTTATTCCTACTAGGAATTTCCTAGCACAACAACTTGATGGAAGAAGTATTCAAGCGAAGAACAATATTTCCCTGCCGCGAAACTCCCTCTGGGGTCGGTTATTTCTGGGAAAAAAACTAAGTGCAGACGGTATGGGTTGCAGCACCCAAGTAAAATTCGTTAAAAAATCTTATTAATTAAAGTATGATTTCACCTGCTTTGCTTTTATGCATTAAATTTTGTTTGACACTGAAAGAAGACAGCATTTTCTGTAGGGTATTTGTGTTTAATTACTTGCAGATGTTTTTAAATATTTTAATTTAATTTATATCTGTCTATATCTATTTATTTATTCCAGTTAAGTGGTGACTCACCTGTGGCAAGCTGAGCACCAGCGAGAGGATGTAGGTGCCGCCGAGCAGCCGATGGCACCGCTTGGCCATGTTGAGCGACTTCATCGGGTACTTGACCGCTATCCACCGGTCCACGCCGATCAGGACCAAAACGTAGGTGCTCAGGTAGAGGCTGAACATCTGGAAGAGCTTCACCAGCTTGCAGGTGAGCTCGTTGGCCAGCCACTGGACTGTGTAGCACCAGGCGGCCTCCCCGATGATGCAGAACCAGGTGACCAGAACATCGGCAATGGACAAATGGAACATCAGCGAGTAGATGGCGCTCCACGTGTGCCGTGAGTTCCGTCTCGAGATGCGGGTCTTGTAGATGTTCCAGATGGTCAGCAGGTTGCCCAGCAGCGAGAACAGAGCCATCACCGCCAAAACATAGACCTTGAGCAGTCCGGAGCGGGAGAGCTGGGGGGCGTGGTCCATCACGTGCTCGGGCACCTGCTCGGCAATCGGTGGGGATTCGTGGCGGCTGTTGGTGTGCGCCAGCGAGGAGCTGTTGGCGATCGCGTAGGCGGGCAGGGGCGTGGTGCTCACACTCAGATTGGACACTTCGGTGGCCACGCCCACACTCAAGTCGAGCATGTTGAGCGTGAAGTTGGCAATATCCGGAACGGCAGCCACCACGAGTCGGGTTAAGTTGGCCGCACTTGACCAATTGCCGGCCACCTCGTTGTCCGTTGTCTCCAATTCCATCGGTGAGTCGGGAACGGAGGCGGGCAGGCGGCCGAAGGAGGTGGAGGGGTCATCCAGACCCCACTCGGTCTCCATTGCGGTCCGAATCTCTATTTAATTAGCTGATTCACTGGGTTTGGACGGTGGTCTGGGGTTCTGTGCTTCCATTCAGACAGTGAAACTTTTGCATGTTGATTTTCTTGTTCAGCGGGTGACATTTAATTTCCATTCATCCTTCACCGCCATTATGAAATATAGACAGCGTAAAATGGTTTAATCTGCAGGCAGAGAGAAAAAGAAAAAACATTTAGTTAGCTTACATAAATATTTTAAATTCATTATGGAAAGCAAGTGGTGTCTCCTATTTTCCTCATTTTTTAAAGCTGCTTAAAGCTGTCTGCAGCAATAAGCTCCTGAATTCTATATAAATTAATTGTGGCATAAACAGGCAACCTGGAATCGAATTAAAAACGCATTATTTCCAACTTTTCGCAGAACATATTTTTAATGCTGGAAAGATTAAATTCAACTTATCTGCGTTTACCATGAAAACATTAAAGTATACAGAGGATGCTTTAAAGAACGCAGTTTGTTTTCAAATTAAAAACATTTTTCCCATCCGCTGTCAAAGTCTTTCACTCAGCTGTCTTGTTTACTTAATTGCCTTTAATAAAAACATTTATTGCCTAGGTGCAATTCAATAAACGATTCGGAGTGGCAGACTGATCGGTAGCAGAAATTGGTTAAAAATCCTTTTTAAAATCCATTAGGAATGTCAATTATTCACCAGACATTTAAGCAACCATGTTGATTTGTCTTCGACATTAAAAAGCTTTTATCTCAGCTTCGAACACTAAAACGAATCCTAATGGCTGCTTAAATTGCTGCAAAGAGAGCATTGGAATTCAGACTGTTACCTTTAAGATATCCTCAGCATAATTACAGAAAATACTTTGCATAAAATTAAGGGACATTGCTTGTCCCTGAAGCAATAGCCCCATTGATAAGTCTACAATTCAAAGCAAGTTACTTGCTTCTGGAGTGGAAGACACTTAAGTTAATTCTATGGATTCCAGTTGGTTGACTTTATATTGCAGCACTACAATGACGCCGCAATCTCATAATGGTGGCCGTTGCTGACCTGTGCAATTGTAATTGCCGACCGGCAATTACTCGCCTTGGATTTCTGCGATTAAGTGCTGCTTTCGCGGAAAAGTTCGCTGCGGTGAGTAGAGTGCAATTTGATTTTAATAGATACAACGATGTTTTCAGTTTCGCCTTCGTTTTAGAACTCGACTTTGGCCATGTTGCCGTTCTGCAGTGTGGGTTCAAAGTAACATTCCATAAAATTTCATTTTCCAAATTAATTTATGAACATAAATTAAATTGCCCGCTCGGTTCGCCTTTTGTTATTGCGATTCCCCGCCAATGGGAAGGCAATAAACCCAATTAAGCGAAACGCGTGTCCAAAATATACATACTTTCTAATGGAGTCCCTGAATATAAAGCAAAACAGTTTTCGCCAATAGAGTCCGATCAATTGCAATCAATTGGACCAAATGATATGATATTAATTGGACCTGTTCGCTGCGCTGTTGGAAAACATGGTTAGCGGCCTTTCATCGCTAATTGTCCGTGTGCAATCTGGGCACTCGATTATGGCAGATTAATAGCTCATGACCTGCGCCGCGCGGTGTCACCGAGGCAATTTGTATCTGATTGGCCCGGCCCGCATCTTAAAGTGAAACTTCCACTGCCATCTGGCGTGGCAGCCTCGTTTAATCAACGCGATTAATACACAAATGCGCATTTGATTGATCAGCAGCCGAGGGCAGCGACTGGGGTTCCGAAAAAGCAGCCAAAGTGGCACATCTGTGCCATGTTCCCGGGATCTGGATTATAATCCCCTGGTGGCGACAGATGAGCAGAGCGAAGTTGTGCGAAAACTTTTTAGCGAATTGTTTGCACGCCTTTTGATTGATTTGCATTTCTGCAATGAAAGCCTTCTACGACCCCAAAAAAAAAAAAAAGTAATCCCTGTCCAAACAGTCTAGACGATTGCTTCCATGGAAATTTGAGCCGATCTGACAAAAAAGTGCATCTGGTTTTGGTGGAGGTACACAAAAGCTTAAATTTAATTGATTTCCTACAAAAAGTGCTTCCATAAAAGCTTTTTAAACTCAACAAACCAATTTTGTTTTTCAAATGAAATGTTTGCATTTCCTTCCACACGCAAAAAGTTAAGGAAAAAATAACCAATAAAACAGGAATGGACAATAAAAGTGTCCAATTAATACAAAATTGACAGGCAGCTACATTTTTTTTGCAAGTCTGAATCAAATAAACTTTCCGCTTTTCATGTTCCTGGCATCGAATTTCGCCAGAGGCAAAAGGAAATGTTGATATATAGTACTTTAATTGTACTATTTTCTTGTTGGGTTATTATTCAAAGTTTGTCCTTTAAACAATGCTGCTGCGAATGGCGAGCATTTTAGTTGAGTTGCTTTTGCAGCTCATTTTTTCCTCGTTGTTTTTACGAAAACTTTGCCCATTTACGCAGATTAGATTAATTCCTGGAGCAGTTTTCTGTAATTCTTACGGTGTTACTTTGTAATTACTTGGCGAGTTCATAAACTGCCCAGCAAAGTGCGGGGATAACGATTCCTCACACCCGATACAGAGTCGATTCTAAAGGGAAATTCCATTCCGAGAGGCATTCTCGTTAGGGGTACAGTGTCCCAAAAGTTTTCCACGATAAGAACACGCACACTACTTCCACTGGCGGGGATATTTGCAATCAACTTGGCCCACACTCGAATTCAAGTTGGCGCTCTTGTTTGTATTCACATTTCACATTTATTTGGACACTTTGGGCTTTGTCTAAGCCGAAGCTGCGGTGTTTGCACAGTTGGGCCGCTTCTTTAAATACGCGGCAAATACACTGAAAGACTTAGAGACTGAACAACTGAAAGACTAAACTCCGCGGGCTACTTGTCTTGCCAGCTTAAATATTAACATGTCATTAATTTTTCGGCAGCGATGTCAGAACTCTCGGAGTTTGGTCGGTTACTTCGAGTACTTTATTATATCTCTGTATCTCCGATGTGTGCACAATTCACTGTTTGCCTAACATCACATAGCTTCCATGAGCTCTTGAGCACTTGATGCCATTTTGATTATTGCCCTGGGTTAACCACACAGATAAGCCAGCGAGCACACACGCATAAAAAGAGTAATTTCGGCGTTTGATCAGATGCAAAATTTAATTGAAATTTATGTAAGCGTTCTCACAAAAAATAAGCCTTTCCCTTATCTCCAGAACAAAGCGCACTGTATTAAAATGTATTGAAAATGAGTTTTCATTTCTATAATCAAAAATATTTCTTGGTCTAAAAAATAAGGGATTAAGTTCATTAACATCCAAACACGAAACAAAAGCTTATTGTTTTATATGGGTGATTTCTTTTACATAATTATACTAAATTAAAAAAAGTCTGTAAGATAAAATCACTAATGGATTGTTTTAATTAACAGGTAATTTAATTGTGTTTTTTCTGGTCATCAAAAATGAGCCAAAAAACTTGCCTTGCTAATCTTTAATATTATTTTTAATAGACTTTTTCGTTGCTTATCAAGGACGAGTGTAAAGATTCAAAGTATTTCACTTATTAAATGCACATTTAGATTTTTTATTGAATAGCAGAATAAAATTGTAGATTACACATATTCCTCAAAAAATTCACTTAGATCGGTAATTTATTTGGATTGAAAAACTTCACTTGTTTAACTTTGGCCTTTATTTGCCCTTTTTCGCTCGCTTTTCTCGTTTATCTTATCACTTGGTTGCAGGAAATCTGAAAGCGGGATTCTCTGGTTTCCACTTCAAAATTGTATTTGAGCAGCTTGTGGCGGATAACTTTTCAATTGAGTTTTCCGCGCTTTTCAATTTCAACCGTTGCGGACCGTCGAGTTCTAGCAACTGATTTTGAAAAAAAACCGAAGCGGCCAAAGTCAAATCGTCGCGCCATTCGATCGAACAGGTTCGAGTTCGCTTCGAACAGGTTGCAGGCGATTCATTCATAAAACCCGGCCACCTGATGGAGCGACCCTCGCTCGTGCGACTCGCAACTTGTTGGTGGTGTCCCCCGTCAAGGGCAACGCTCGGCAGACATAACTCATACGCAACGTGGGCTTATCCTGCCTGCACAACCATAAAGTTGGCCATTCCTCCGCTGCTTTTTTGTTGCCGTTTGGCTCTTTGGCGGTGCTAACAAGTTGCTACTGCGATAGTTGCGACCTGCGACTGGCGACTGGCGTGTCTGGATTTAGTAAGAAATGTTTATCTTTCCTTAATGGAGCGCAATGCTATTCGGCCGGTGTATTTATTTTATATACCCTAATTAGCTAATTTACGCACATGCCCAGGCAGGCAATTTGGGTGCGTGGGATATAAACGCTAAACGTAAACCCTTTCTCGGCAAATAAGAATGCATTAAAGCGAGAACACGGCACATTCCATTGGCTCTAATTGAGTTTACACAAAACAAACAAGTGGGTACATTCCGTGCCTTTTGGAAAGGAAACCAAAATCTGCGGAAAGAATGGCGGGAGATGAATGCCGCCATCTGTGGTCTTCACACTGGAGGCGGGACTTTTCCCGGTTACCTGTCATTAGGCCGAAAATGGAGTACATTTTGCAGCCAGGTGGAAAAACTAAACAGAGTTGCCTGAGAAACACAAGCGTGGGGCATGAGCACATGCGAGTAAATACCGCTGGCAGGATACAAAGGAGCACGCCATGACAAATGACGCACTGAGTGGCAGCCCAGTCACGTGTGATGAACCGAGAACAATGTCAGCCAATGTGAGATATATAGCCAAAAAAATAAAGGAAATAAGAGGAAGGTAGAAGGGAGAACTCTGTCCCCGAGGACATTGTTTCCCAGACACTTATGTGAGCAGCGGATATCGATGGCAGGACTCGTGGTGGCAGCTGTCAGGACTCGTGAGCGCCTCTTCAGGTTCACTTCGTGATCTCATCAAACGAGCTGCGACGACAACTGATGACTAAATAATTTCATCTCCCGCCTAAGCATATTGTTTGCTCACCGATAAACAAAGTACATATCGCTCGTATCGCCGAAAATGATTTATGCAAATTGAACTGGGGAGGAGGGGAAAGCACTTTGGAAACGATCGCATAACCTGCTCAAAGGCAACCAGCAATTTCTAGCCGAAATTCGTGTATTGCGTTGCGGCCAACAATCAAAATAAATTGTAATACATTATGACCCCGAGTGGCTTACCGCGTGTGTTTACAGAAGATTCCCCTCTTTGAGCTGGCAGATTAATCCCCGCATAATGGCATTACAAAATTGGCACGAGAAACACTTTTGAATTACCCACCATACAGGAAAGATGAGAATTTCTGCGAAAATGCTTGGCACATTTTCCAGGGATTTTGGCAAGCTAAATTAAAACTTTCTGTGGCTGCAACATAATGGAATTAATACTTAAATTAACTTATTTCAACTATCATGCACGCGTGCCTTTATCAACTTGAGATATTTTCGAGTCGCAACCGGAAGAACTTCGCTCCGGTTTGCGTTGTGTAATCCTCGCAAAGTGCATAATTTGCCCAAGAAAATTATGGCATCGAGTTGGGGACTCACGCTTCCTGTTTCCCCGGTGATTTATTTCACTTTTGCGCCAAGTTGTCGTGGAATTTTGACTCGGATTCCTTCCCCATACGGAACATGTATGCTGGCGAATTATTTTGGGACCCGGCGGGGATGTTATCCGGCGACTGGCAAACTTTGTCACTGCTGCCGAAAATCTTTCGAGTTTTGTGTAAAGCGTGTGTCTGTTCCAGCTCGACACAATAAAGGAGGCCAGCTTAAAAAGTGAAATCGCTTGGCGGAGTGGCAGGTGGGGAGGAGCTCCCAGGAGCTGGCAGGACCTCGCAGGAGCTTCGAGCAACGCATCTAGCATCGCAGCCATCATTAGCTTCGGATGCCTCGCTGATTACGAGGAGCCTGGCAAAAAATAAACAAGCATTCCCCAATATTCGGCGAGGTCCACGTCGTACACGTGCCAACGACTAATGTGCTGCTAGAGTGTGCCGCATAAATAATAGAGTTTATGAGCAACGGCACGAATGGCACGGCCACGGCCACGGCACCCAAATCCCGATCCCAAATTGGCACAGATTCGAGTTTCGAACAGGCCGAACAGGCTGCCTTCTGCCGATATCTCACAGTGTGGTCCATTGACCCAAATCAAAATTTTGGATTGCAGAAATTAACTCAGACCCTCTGCTTTGCTCCCCTTCCGAAACGGCAATCCAATAAAGAACATCTTGAGACATGCACGTATAATGCAAATCTTATTAGGCATTTCTCGAGCTTTGCCAACCAGAAAAGTTGCTTAGGTTTTGTTCCACCGTGCGGGTTTTTGGGGGAAAATGCCGAACAAATTGATTTTCAGCTAGCTTTTGGCTGCGGCGTCCAGCTTTCGGCGACTGCGGTGGCTTCGAATGTGGTGGCCATATCCACTTGAGGCTGTTGTCTCATGCCCGGAAAATGGTCGCACAGCCACCCATGATTTTCCGTTCGCTTTTTCCCCGCAACGCTTTTCCGGCACGACGTTCGTTGTTCATTTTGAAAAGTATTCGAGCACATTTTTTATGTTCCCCGACGTGGGCTTACGCCGGTTTGCCTCGGTTTCCCTCGATTTCCTTTCCTTTTTTTCCCGGCTCTTCCCTCCTGAGTGCTTTAAACTACTTTATTTGGACATCTGGCTGTTTGAAGTGGCTGTTCTCGTTGAGGCTGCCTTTGGAGAGGCTTTAAGCCAAAGCAAAGGAAGCGTTCTCGAGGACACATGCCAAAGCGGAAGCATAAATTCCCCTCTGGTGGAATGCCTCAAATTGCACTCCTCGGGGACGAAATGTAAATACGCCGAGTGTAATAAGTATCTTGTATTAAAAAAGTTTGGGCTTTAAATGACTTGGAAGCGGACGTACTCAAATTCGTTATTTGGTTAGTTGTGTACAGAAATATTTATTAAATAATTGCAAGTCCGTAGTCGCTAGGTTACAATTCTGCAAAAGAAATTCCCTTCTGCCAACTGCTTAACTTACTTTTGCTTGAGTTTGCTGAAATCCACTTAGGTTTATTAAAAGTCTACTCTAGGCAAGTTTTCGTCAGAGATATTTAAATATTTTCTTAGGAATTCGCACAAATAGTTCTTGCAGTAGGGAATTGATTTCTCGGGGGAAAAACGAGCTTGTTATCCTGTGTCATGGTGAGCACTTTTATGGGATTCCAATCTTTCCGTTGTCAATCAAAGTTCGAAACTTCAACGGAGCATTGTTTGGATAATTAAAGAATTTATTGGTTGTTTTTGTTGGCCAAACTAAACATGTTTGAGGCAAACAAAATTTCTCAGCCTAATGAACAGATACCATACATTATTGAACAGTATATATGCATATAATGTTCGAAATATTCCTCAAAGTTGTTTAACAAACATAAATTGAATAAATTATTCATATTGAAGTCAATGTTTTTGTTTCTTTTTCTAGAATTTTGCTGAATCCATGGAATTTGATTGGCCCGGAATTATTAATAGAAAATTGGCCATACCTTTGGTGTTCTGTTTTTAGAACTGTGTTGTGTTAGTCATGTTAATATCTTCGGTTGTTTTGATTTTAGCACTGAACATTTTTTAAACAAATTTGAACACAAAATTTAAAAACTGTGGGTTATCTTTTTGGGTGGCGTTCGTGCAGCTCTGCACGAAAAATATGCAATTAAAAACTGTAGAAGCAATTTGAAGAGCAAAGCTCAATTACGTGCCTATATGTTCGTGATGACTGTGTTCTCGGGCCCATGAAAACATTTGCCAGAATTACTTGTGAAGCGCTAATTAAACATTTTTACGAGCCTCGAATAAAAGAGCCGTAAACGCATGCAAATATATTTGCGTTTTGGGATGCGAGATGTGAGACGATTCCCGAGTGCGTGCCCAGATTCCAAGTGACTAATTGTGGCTAGATACGGATATTGGGGCCCTCAGAACCCCACCAAGGAACGTGGACTCCAATCTGGATGGAGTCTTGATGCACGGGCGGCCACTGAACTCGGCTGTCATTCAACTCTGGAGTCCGGACGGTCCACGTCCAGGCAATTGACAATCTTGTAGCCATAATTTCTGTCTGGTCCTCGTTGAAGTCCCGCTGACCCTTTTCCATTTATGTCGAAACAAAAGGGTTAGTACTTTGGCGTTGCCAAGAAACAGAGTAAATGAGTAACTAGATACTGTGCACTCATTTTGTACATGAATTTCAATCAAATTAAGCGGTTTTAATTTGCAAAATTTGGTAACCACCAACACATTAAATTACACAGGCTGAGCATTCCAAGAATTTCAAAAATTGAAAATTGAGAAATTCCTTACTCAGATGATTAGATGTTTTGAATAAGAAGCTGCTTTTTGGACACTGTCCAGTATCTTGTTTATTTTACTTTATTGTCGAAACAAAAGAAAATAGAAAGTAAGGCCTCATTTCTTTGTGGCAGCATGTTTTTATTAAACATTATTGGGAAAATTCAATTTGCAGGCCAACCCGATTGTCACGGCTTGTGTATCCATTCATTTACTTGCTGGAATAATACACTTAAGACGGAAAGTACCTCTGGGAAGTATCCACATTCAAAAGTCAAAGGCAGTCATTTCGCTCCGCGCTCTGCACATTCATCAAACATAAAGCTCCAGTTGGTTTTTTTTTTCTGTGAGCTGTGAGCCGTGCGCTATGAGTGTTTTTATTGATTTAATCAAATAAACACGGTGGCTCAAGCGGCGAGCGGTTGAGTGAAGTGAGCAGCCCGGGAATTGATCCTGACTGCTTTTGACAGGCAGTTTGTCGGGTTTGTGGGTCCTGCGCCTGCCTGCAAATGAAACA